GCTCGGGGCCGTGTATCTCGGGGGGACGCGCAGTGCGCTGCGGCGGAGGATGCAGCGTAGCGGTGTGGGGCAGAGCCCGGCGGCGTCGCGGAGGTGCCGTCCGTGGGTGCCGGTGCCGCGGGCAGTGGGGCGCAGTGCGGTGCTAGGCTGCGTGGGCTCAGGGGTGGGCGTGCTCGCAGGCAGCACAGTTCCACCCCGAGGAGTGGGTGCCAGGTACCGGGGGGGTCGGGCAGTGCAAGTGGGGGGACCCACTGGAGGCAGGGCGGTGCGTGAGGGAGCGGCCCAATTGCAGCATTTGGCCGGCAGCAAAGGTGCAGGAGGCTCCCGGGCTCAGGGCTGCTGAAAGTCCAACTTTCCCGTTAAATATAAACCTGCCACGGCTCTCACCCAGTTAACTGCTCCTGTGGCCGTGGCAGGCCCGCACTTGACGGGTGAGTGAGGCAGGATCCTCCCAAGCCGCCTTCTCCCCCTGCCCAGACCCGTGCTGAAATGGCCACTGCCCCCCTTGGCTTCAACATTGATGCCCCACGCTGGGACCAGAGCACTTTTGTGGGGCGCTTGAAGCATTTCCTCAACATCACCGACCCGCGGACGGTGCTGGTGCCAGAGAAGGAGCTGGACCGGGCCAAGGCTCTGGTGGAAGCCTGCAGGTGAGGGACAGGGGTGCAGCCAGGACAGGTGCCATGCCCGTGGCTGTACCCAACCACCCTGTGGTGCTGTGGGAGGGATGGAGGCAGTCGTTCCCAAGCAGGCGTGCTGGGGCATACCATCCATCAGAGGTGGTTTTGGGGGAGTTTCCCAGGCTTCTCCCAGGAGCCTCAAGCTGGGACAAGTTTCCCTCATGAGAGATATTTCCTCTGCCTTTCATGTCTGGCACCCGGGGCTCTGTGCCTTGGCAATACCAGGTGCCGGTAGGTCTGCATGGCTCTCCCTGATGGGCTCTGGGCTTGCAGGGCTGGGCTGGTGCCGCCAGGAAGCAGCCAGGAGCAGCTGCTCTATGCCAAGAAGCTGTACGACTCAGCCTTCCACCCTGACAGCGGCGAGAAGATGAACCTCATAGGGAGGATGTCCTTCCAGGTGCCAGGGGGCATGGCCCTCACCGGCTGTATGCTCCAGTTCTACCGGTGAGCTCTGGGGTACACCACGCTGGGAAAGCAGCTGTGACAGCCCCCAGCCCCTTGAGGGGTCCCCCATGGACAGGGTACGGCCAATCTGCCTTCTCTGGGGCCGGCTGCTGCCTGAGGTATGCCCATGGCTGCTGTGCCTGATGGCATCCTGTGGCCAAGCCCTGTGTCCCTGTGCCCTGTCCCCAGTGCCCAGCCTGTGGTGGAAGCATCACAGATCCTCCCAGTTCACTTCACACAGTTCACTTCACCCTCAGTTCTGCTCTTCCTGTAGCCCTTGTAATGATTAACACAGCCACATCCTCTGTGGCTGCTGCTCTTGCTCCATGGACCATTACAGCCACTGAAACCAAGAACCAAATGTGTCCCCAGGCCAGGCTGCTCCAGTGTCCCCAGCCCATGCCAACAGCTCCCTGCATTCCCCTTCTGAAATGGCTGCTGTGGGGGTGAGTGGTCCTGTCCCCAGCAGAGAGGCTGTATGGGACAGGCACTGCCTTTCCCAGTGGATCCTTGTCCCATCCCACCCCTGTTTGCTGGACTGGTTTTCCCATTGCTGGTGAGGTCCAGCCTGGGTGGGGGATCTCCCAGTGCTGACAGGTCACCCTTTTTCCAGCTCATCACCCTCCTGCGTCCCAAAGCTTGCTCAGACCCAAATCTCCCTGTGTCCCTTCCTGCCCCACCTCAGTGTCCCCAAGACACCATGAGGAGTCCAGGTGCCCTGGTCGTCCCCAGAGCTGCCTCTGTCCCCGTGTGCTCCCTCCTTGCCACTCCTGTTGACAAAGGCATACCTCAGCCCAGCAGGATGGCTGCTGCCCTGCTGAGAGCTGGGTCTCCCACCTCTGGCCAAGCACCCTGCAGGGCTGGTCCCACTCTGGTGGTCCCCAAGGCCCCATGGCAGCCAGGACTGCTGGCGTCATTTCCCAGCTCTGCTACTGGTTCATCGCTTTGCTACAGTGCCTCAGTTTCCCTCGGGAGACACCCTGACAAGTGTATCGAGGGCATCTTGGCTGTCCCCCTGCTGAGCTTGGCCACAGGCATAGGCACAGTGTACCTGATGGCTCTTGGGTGCTCTCCCGGTCCCTTCTCTCTGCAGAACAGTGCCCGCCGTGGTTTTCTGGCAGTGGGTGAACCAGTCCTTCAATGCCATCGTCAACTACACCAACCGCAATGCTGCTTCCCCCATCTCACTGAGGTGAGCGTGCCCCGCACAGGATGGGGACCCTCTGTGTTGAGACCTCCCTGGATGCCCCTTAAAGTCTCCCTGTGCCCTGTCTTGGGTACCAAAGGAACAGGATTGAGTCAGAGTTCGTGTTTCTGTTCTCTCCCTTTTTTGGAAATCACTGTCCAGGCAAATCGGGGTGGCTTACATCACAGCCACCGGTACAGCCCTGGCCACTGCAGTGGGACTCAACCTCTACACCAAGGTACATGTGGCCAGGGCCGGGTGGGGGAGCTGGCTGCATCCTGCCCTCCTGTGCTGACACTAGCCTGTCTCCCGCAGCGAGCGCCCCCCTTGCTGGCCCGCTGGGTCCCCTTTGCAGCCGTGGCTGCTGCCAACTGTGTCAATATCCCCATGATGCGGCAACAGTAAGTGCCTGGCCAGAGTGCTTGAGGGACTCGGCTCCCTCGGAAGGTGATGTGGTGGCAGCCTGGCTGCAGGGTCACCCTGCCACCATTTGCCATCCAGGGGCTGGAGCGGGTGGGAGGATGGGAGGGAGGTGAGCTGGGGTCTGCACATTCGCAGTGCCGGGTCTCTGGTGGAGGGTGCCTGGTGGGATGGTTCCGCCTTTGCTCAGAGCAGGACGGAGATTTGGGGCTGAGGGTAGGTGTTCTGGGGCCTGGGCTGGAAGATCTCTCAGATCCAAAGGTCTTCTGCCTGTGGTCATGGAGAGCCCCAGTCCACGATGTCCATGTGGGGCTCATGTGAAGACCTGTGTCTGCTTCTCAGGGTCTCCCAGAGGTCACAGCACGGGGAGCTGGGGTGCTGTATAGGGGACTGTCCCCTGGCTCTGTTGCGGGTCCCGCGTGGGTGTCTGTCCCCTGAATGGCTGGACCCTGTTCGCAGCCATGCCCTGAAGATGGCAGCATCGGCTGGGCTGAGGACCGCGGTGCTCCGGGACTGTTGAGCCCTGAGGCCAGGGCTGGGGACAGCCGGGGCTGCTGTGCCAGCACAGCACAAGGGACCCCACTGGCACCCCGTCAGCCCACTGCTGCGTCCTCACGTTTCCCCGACCATCCCGGCCCCCATTCATGGCAGCTTGTCCCCTCCAGGGAGATCATCAACGGGATCACAGTGACAGACGGGGACAATAACGAGCTCGGCTGCTCCAGGGTGAGTCTGGGGATGGGGTCCGAGTTGGGGCCTGCTGCAGGGGCTCACCTGATGCTTTTGCTTGCAGAGAGCAGCAGTGAAAGGCATTGCACAGGTTGTGGTCTCCAGGATCGCCATGGCAGCGCCGGGAATGAGTGAGTGCAGGGCAGGAGGGTGGGGGGCCAGACCAGGGGCTCCCCTGGGAACCACTACCTCAGCCTCCTCTGCTTCAGTTTCCCCCAGGAAGAAGAGGGAGGGTGGCCCTGCATCCCAGGTGGTGTTTGGTTTCATCTCACTGATGGAGCTGCTCTCCCCATGCTGCCATTCCCATCAGAGTCCCCTGAGCCCCCAGCCTTCCTCACCCCAACCCACAGCCCATGGGGGACATAGGGTACTCCCGCAGCAGTTGGGCTCCACAAGAATGCCTCTCATGCTCTCTGGCCTCTCTCCTCACAACCTGACATCCCTCACCCTCATGAGACCCTTTCCATGCCGCAAGCCTGGCAGAAGGGATCAGAGAGCATAAGGAGCATGGACCATGCTGCTCGGATAGGCCAGCATGCCCATGGACCTGGATGGATGGATGGATGGATGGATGGATGGATGGATGGATGGATGGATGGGGGTCCCATGCCAGGTCCCTGCCATGAGCAAACACCCAGTGACCTCCCTAGCACAACTACCCAATGCCATGGCCTCCAGGAGGACAGTTCTGCTGGGGCAGCCCTATGGGCTGGTTTGCAGGGAGGCCCTGACCTTTTCTTTCTGTACCTAGTTATTTTGCCCATCATCATGGAGCGACTGGAGAGATTCCCCTTCATGCAGGTGAGCCCATGCTTCTCCTGCCACAGTTTTCCGGTGGATCCTGCGGTGCTCCAGCCCTGCTCCCCAGGCATCACGATGCTGGGGGTAAAATGGGGGGTTGCAGAGCCTGGCTTGCTTTGCCCCCTGTTTGAGTAACCAGTACACCAGAGGTCTCTTGGGTGACATGGAGAGGCTGTGGGATTGTCGCAGGGGTTGGCCATTCAGCCCCATTGAGGGGAGAAGTCTCCCTGCTCTGTGAAGGGGGCTTGCGGCAAGGCTGGGGACTCATTCCCGGCTCTTCCCTTGCAGCGGATCCGGGTTCTCCACGGGCCTCTGCAGGTGCTGCTCTGTGGGGGCTTGTAAGTATTTCACTGCTCAAACCCCTGTGGGTGCCTGGAGTGTGGCCCCAAGGGATGCTTGAAAAAAGACCCCTTTCCCAGCAGGGGATTGCAAAGCTGCTTGCCTTTCAGCCTGGGCTTTCCTAAGTTACTGGGAGTCGTTGGGCATGAGCAGCACCTCTTGGGCTGAGATCCCTGCAGCTGGGGGGCAAATGGGCTGTGATCCCCAACACTAACACTCAGCTCTTCTCTGTCCTGCAGCCTCCTGTTCATGGTGCCAGCAGCTTGTGCCCTGTTCCCGCAGCGATGGTACCTGTCCTACTGCTTCCCCCCCAACCCCATCATGTGTGGGACCTCAGGAGCCTTCCTCCTCCCCTAGCCCTTCTCTGCCGATCCCAGGATGGGCACCCACCCTTCAGCCTGAGGCAGTGCCTGCCTGTACACACTGGTGCCCTGGGCAGCAGGAGGGTGTGTGACTCCCCTGCTCTGTGAGCTCTGGGCTGGGAGCAGTAGGACCCACAGCCCCACCGGCAGCTCTCTGCTCCCTAGCACTGGGAGTGGTGGACACTAGGGCTGGGTGGTGAGTCTTGATGTGAGCCTGCAAGATCCCAGGGACTGCAGGGGACCTCAGATGGCAATGGGGAGGGGAGGGTGGCCTGGCCAGTGGTCGGGGAGGAGGATTGCAATTCTCAACGTCGATCTCCTCTCCCCACAGCTCCCTTGCACTGGCTGACCTTGAGCTGGAGCTACATGACAGCATCGTGGCCAAGCATGGGGACAAAGTGCCATACGTCTATTTTAACAAGGGACTGTGAACAGAGACTACCTCAGGAACCATCACACCCTTCCGGCCCCCTGCCGCCACCAGCCCCACGTACTCTGATCAGGGCTCAGAGGCACAGTCCGGCCAGATCTGCCCCCCAGGCCCAGCACCATCTCTGATGCTTCCTTCCTCCAGAGAGGCAGGATCTGGCCCTGCATGCCCAGCTTGCAACACTTTGGCTTGTCCTGAGCCTTCCTCCATCTGCTGCTGGCCATGTCCTTGCCTCCCCACATCCCTACTGCTCTAGGCAATGGCTGAGCTTCTTGTGCCTTCCTTCTGCCCTGCACAGGAGGATCTGCCCAGCTTGTCTGAGCCTCATGTGGTCACTGGGCTTGGCCCCACAAGGCATCAGGCTCTCTCCCTCGGGTCTCAGAGCACAGTCCTACCTCTGAAAGCAGGTGCCTTGCCATTGATTGTATGAGGAACCAAAGCACATTGCTGTCTTAAGCCACCACAGTGGCCTCTTAGCAAGAGCTGGATCATGTCTTGGCATGTCGGAAGGAACCTGTCCCCTCCACACAGGGAGCACCCACAGTCCAGGGACCAATGCTTGGACCATGCCTTACTTGCTCTCAGGTTCAGGTTTTATTCACTTTGGGATTACCACAATCCAGGAGAGAAAGAGCTAATTATTTCTAAGCTATAATTTTTGCAATCTGTCCATTCCTCTGAACGTGAGAGCCAGCAGTTAGCCTTGTCCTGCATCTCACTGTCCCCACGGTAGGACCAAGGACCTGTACATTTGGGGGAGAGTCAACTCTGGGCCCCCTTAGGGGGAAGGAGACACAAGAGTCACGAAAGGCATTATGTCAAGGCATTAACTCAGGCTCTGAATAGCAGCACTGCAAACGATAGAGAGGAGGGTTGAAAAATAAAATGTGGTCATTTTTAAAAAACAGATGTGGGTTCTGCTTTTGGCTGGTCTGTGGGTGTCTGGTTCCCTGGGCAGGGCTGGTACGTGGGTCTCATGTCTGCCTTGAAAGGGAGAGGTGTGTGGGCTCTGTGACTGACCAGGCACCAGGGTGAGGTGCAGCACAAGGGCCAGGAGGAGGAGGAAGAGCCATGAGGATCTTCAAGGGCTGACCCAAGCCCTGAAACCCTTGGGTATCCATGCAGCCTTCTGTGACACATTCTTGGGGCTGCAAACAGTCCTGAGGCAAATGACAAAGGCAAGTGACAGTGCTGTGTTTGTGGTGACTCTTGTCCCGTTGGGGGAATGAGAGGCATGACACTGGGTGACCCTTCCTACACCCATGGGTGCTCTTTGTCTTCTTGGCCAGGCAGTGTTTGCATGATGCAAACCTGAGTTTGCCATGAGGCCTCTCCCACCCTGAAGGAGAGCAGCTTGAGTTTGCTGCAGCCTATATTCAGAGGAGGAAGGAGCTGCAAATTTTAGCCCAAGTCCTGGGTTAAAAACTCATCCCTCAGCCAGGTACTCTGCTGGCTGATGAACATCCCTTGTTGGACAAGTGTGTTTCTAACCAGCCATATGATGTGGCTGCTCGGAGAGCCCTATGAACCAGCGGATGGACCATGCTCATCCCTTCAGCCCAGGATATGTGTCAGATCCCTTAGGGCAGCATCATCCTGGCATCAGCCATATGCCCAAGTGGAGACACAGGATCTGCAGCCAAAGGGCTTTCTGGCATTAACCACTGTTTCTACAGCAAGAGCAGCCAAACCCAAAATGTACATCTTGAAGGGCCAAGCTGTATCCACAGCAGGTTTTCTTCTTCCCAAGCTGCAACAGGCAGAGGATAATGTCTCCAACCACATGTAGCTGCACAACTTTGTAGAAAGCTGCACAAAAGCTGTGAAATAATGAATAGGTCAGCAAACAGTAGGAAAAAACATGTTCAAACATGTATCTGTTCCCTGGGCATTATTAGATCTTGTTAATGTGCAATTAAAATAATAGATAAGCACATTAAATGAAACAGATGTCACTCCTGTTGAGAGTGGGAAGAAGCCACAAGGAGACATCTCTGCTCTCTGCTTTTCTTAAGGTATCTAACTCAAGCTGCTCTTGCCCTACACTCAGAACTGCTTTGCACACTTTCAGAAAGGTACCTGTAGCTGCCTGGGCTGTATTTGGGTCCAAGGTGCCTCTGGCATGCTTAAGAACATGGCAATGCTTGTAAAGTGATGTGCCACAGTGCCCTAAACTGCCCTTCCCCTGCATATCACAATCTTGCTCTTGCTGTTGACCCTTCCTGCGTTTGCAGTGCGTGGGGGTCCCAGCAGGGCAGGAGGCTTTGCAACCATTGATGCCAGGCCAGCAGCCACCCAAAGCCAAGGCTGGGACTACAGTGAGAAAGTCTTAGTGGTTTTGTCACTCCTTTTTTTTCCTGTCCCCAGCCATACCAGAGGGGTGGTGGAGCAGGTAGACCCTCTGAAGAGCTGTTGCCATCTTGTACCAGCTCTCCCCCTGCCTGGGAGAGTAGGACATGGTGCAGTTGATTGCTCTTAGCCAGAGGAAGAGGGTTGCTCTGGGCTTGGAGGATTGGCAAACCATCCTCAAGCCAGACCTCCCCGATGAGCTTTTAGCAGTGGATTCCCTCTTCAGATCGACATGGATTTATGACAGCTGACAGTTTAGCTCAGCGGGGTTTCTAGGTTGTAGCTGGAATCTTCCCCAGAGGATTCAAGTCATCTCAACAGCTCATGTTGCTCCAGTGTTCAGAGATGGTGGCTGCAGACAGTGCCTGCTTGCACTCCCCAAAACCACAGTAACTCCCCAGCCTGCCTTGATCTCTCTGGGGAGCAGAACAGCCGCAGCCAGGCTGCAGCCAGCAAGTCCCCATGCTGCCAAGGGTGGCTCTGGCCAGCCTTGTCTCCATTTCCCATTGCTGCAACAGGAAGGAAACCTTATTGCCAGGAGTCAGAGCTGGACTCATCCCTGTTTGGAAAGAGCTGCAAGTGTTGATTGCTCTTCAGTAATGACTCACATCTGATCTGGGCTTGTCCTGTGCTCCAGCGTACTCTCAGCCTTCTTGCTGTACCTTTAATTTCAGTGCTAGTTGGGAACAGGAATAAAGCTCATTTAATAACTGTTCGTGTCCAAAATGTCAGTGCTCCAGCATGTTTACAACCTCCCTTCAAATGATAACCAGACCAAAGATGTCATGCTGGTCTGCAGCAGAGCCTGGGGAGGGGCTGAGGAGGCACAGGAGCCTGGGGGTCTCCTCTGAGGCATCAGCAGCCCCAGCAGGCAGACTTGGCTCACTTCTCACCCAAAGGCAGTGGAGGCTGGTGAACTGCTTGCCTACGGAGAGAGGAGCAAGCAGGGTGCACATGCGATGGGTTAATACCTGCCAGCCCATGCCTGTGGCAGGTGGGCGAGCTGATCCAGTGGTGTTAGGTGTGCCCCAAGTACTCCTCTCATTGAAAAATGTTGGGGTAGGAGATAAGCTGCTAAATTGATAATTTTCTTCTGGCTTTTCTTAACCTGTTATCTGAGTATCTGATAAACCTTGTCATGTCACTCCAGCATGGAGGCTGCCCAGCAAACCAGGAGCAGCGGTGTAGAAAGCAGAGGCTTACTGCCCCAGAAACACAGGTCCTTGACCCCTAGCTGTGAATTAACCTCAAGTGCTGGTGCCCCCACT